AGTGTTCTTCCCACACGTGTGTATTCATTAAAATCATTGTTTGACCAAGAGCTTCTGGACCAAGGGTGGTTTGTACTCTCCCTCCTCAATTGTGAACCTTAACAGTTGCTACTCGCCGAAATACTTAGTTTCAACAGCTGATTGTTATGATGAAGAAAAGAATAAGTAGCTGTAGTTAAATGTAAGCCACAAGAAGCTCAATTGAAAACATGTAAAAACATTTCTGTGCCTAAGTACTCTGCCTTTGTTGTCTGTCATGTTTTAGCATGCATATATTTAATATCAAGTGCTTATAGCTGTAAGTTGCACACAAACAGCCACATAATGTAGTTGTTTCTACATTCTGGCCTATGATAAGGTAATAAAGCCAAATATGAACAGCGGTTATGCTTATTTTTCAAAAATCTCTAAAAATAATTTACTGTATTTACACATCCTTTTTTTGATGAAACTGACTGTTTTTTAATCTACTCTGAATACCACCACAAATCCAGAGTGAAGAAGGAGACCAAACAGATTTTTCTAGGCATATTTACAGCAATAAGACTTTAATTATAATAATTTTTATGTAGCAGGATACAAACATTCTTGAGCAAATCAATTTGTATTATATTCAACAGACTTGCACACATTCCAACATTAAACAGAATAAGTCTCATCAGCCATTAGACAATAAAATGAGGTAATATGAAGCTTTGTGATCTATTTTCTCAGTAATAGTAATCTGTGTCAGGATGCAGCTAAACCATATTCATCCAGTTGGCCTGGATTTTTAGCCTGCATGCAAAAAATGTTTTTAGGTCACAATAACATGAATTTCATTTCGAAAAGAGGCACAACTGCTATATATTATAAATACATGGTGAATACAAAGTTAAAACTATATGCAAAAAATACGCATATAGTAATGAGTGATATAATCCTACATTGCACTGACTACATTATCTCCACACTGTCACACCAAAAGAAAACGTAAGCCACAGATCTCGCACACATTTGAACAAAATGGCTCCAAACGGCTTTAAAAAAGGTTAAATATCTGTAATTTTTCTAAGATTGAAAAACAAAATTTCTTGCACATTTTTTTCTACTGTCGTCAACATAAATAAAGGTTTTTAGTTTCCTGTAGTTAAAACAGCCATTTGCCATGACAGACAGCGACATAGCTGTGCTGGAACTAGAATACCTCTCATATGAGTTTGGTAAAGACACCAGCCGACCATCCACATATATGCATTTACACCTAACATCTTTCAAGAAGAAGGCTTTGAGTTTTCATTTCCACAAAGATATTCTGTGATGCACTGTCAGGAATCATCTAGCTGCCCTCTGCATCATCCGTCCGTCCATCCATCTTTTTTCACTTATGCGGGGCCGGGTCGTGGGGTCAACAGCCCAAGCAGAGAAGACCAGACCTTCCTCTCCCCAGTCACCTCCTCCAGCTTGTCTGTGGTAAGACCAAGGCGTACCCAGGCTAGCCAAGAGATACAATCTCTCCAGCGTGTCCTGGATCTGTCCCGGGGCCTCCTCCTGGTGGGACATGCCCAGAACACCTTACCCAGACTTGCACACATCCTTGTAACAGGGCTCTAGACTAACTTTTTGACATGGGCGCACCGGTACGCCTAACTTTAAAAATTTAGGCGTACCGGAACAAAAGTTAGGCGCACTCAAATTTTTCAACCGCATCGCTTAACACCGCAGTTTTACATGTGCACTTTCTTTGGGGGGGAAGTCCATACAGACAATATTAATTTCTAAATTATTAACTAACAAACTTGTGCTTAAAGTGCTTTGTCAATATTGTAGAAAATGTTAAAAACTTAATCATCATCTTGGCCTCCTCTGACGACCTGTTTGCTGCTGTCTGCTGCTGAAAGGCCGTGGGGAGAGGGGACACTTGGGCAGTGCATTTACTGCAGCATATAATGTGTTTTCTGGATACACTGTGCTTTTTCAGCATTCAAATATTGATGGCACCGTGTCAGAGCACTGGCTATGAATTTCAGACAGATCAGGCCTTAACTTAACAAAAAAGTTATCAATAGTTCTTTTCATCTTTTCTTATTGCCCACAGCTACAGTACATCCACTTCTCTCAGGCCTAGGCTGCTCACTAGGGCTGAGTATCATCACTGATTTCTATAATCCATTCAATTCCGGTTCTCAAAGTCCTGATTTGATTCAATTTAGCCTCAGACAGTCAGAAATATTATAATTCTGATCATTTATCAGTACTGATACACATGAGACTTCATCAGAATTGTGAAAATCACAGCAGATGCCTTTGTGTGAAAGTAACTGAGAATAAAACACAGGAAAACATGAAGGAGATTTTCCTGGTCTGGCTTTTTATAGCAGATAACCTTAAAAATATTCTGTAATTTTGCATAATTTTAAGAAATTTAAATTTCTTCAGTATTGAACAGCAGAAATTAGGCTTTCTTGTCCGAGGTCATTTAAGTGAAAAAAGAAAAAGCGCTGTAAACAACGCTAGACTGGTGGGTAATAAGCGAATGAATAATGCAGAAAACAGATTTGAGACGGGAAACTGTTCCTGAAGTACAGAGAGAGAGAGAGCTGTGCAGGAAGTGTGATTTTTATCGTGGTGGAAGCAAAACAGCAAAAGTCAGAGGGAATTCATGACTGCATTGATCAAATGTGAAGCGCAGTTTGCTGCTTCTTTTGCTGCAGGCTCGGTGAATTTTGGTTGGAGAGAGGCAAAACCTGCAGCTCAGAATCAGCGCAAAAAGACGTAAACACAGCGCGGACCCGAAGAATCGCTAAGCTCCGACAGCGTGTCCGTGTTCAGGCCGTCGGGTGAGAAAGCCGAGAAAGACGAAGCTGATTCTGATGTGTTGGGTCCGCTCCGTGTTTAGGTCTTTGTGTGGAATCCGTTAATGAATTGATATCGCTTTATTCAAGCTACTCACCTCTCTCTTCCACCTGCACTTTCAACTGGACCACGGCCAATCAGAGAGGTCCCGCCCCTGACTATCTCTGATTGGTTTAGTCCACGATAGGGGCATAATGTGTGTCTGTTGTTGACCACACGGAGAGTTACAGAGATTTTTTTTTTGTTACCGGAACAGTTGGTCGCACCTGTGCGACCAAATATTTATTTTTAGTCGCACCACTGAAAAATTTGGTCGCATTTGCGACCAAATTGGTCGCACTCTAGAGCCCTGTTGTAAGATGCCCAAACCACATCATCTGGCTCCTTTCGAGGTGAAGGAGCAGCGGCTCCACTCTGAGCCCCTCCTGGAAGGGAGAGGCCAGCCACCCTTCGGAGGAAGCTTATTTCTGCCTCTGGTATCCACAGTCTTATTCTTCAGTCATAAGCCACAGCTTGTGACAATAGGTGAGGGTAGCGACATGGATCGACCGTTTGAGAGCAATTGAGAACTTCGCTTTTACACTTAGGAATAAAATTATTAAATAAAGTTGTCATTGTGATTCTTATATACACATTGCAATTCTGCTCATTAATTAGTTGGCACTCTGTGTAATGAGGGTCAAAAGCATCAATTCAGTGCTAAACTTGAATTGAATGATTGAGACTGACATAAGGAGCTGTAGAGGGATTTGCAAACATGCAAAAATTCTGGGCCAAGCGAGTCTGAACAGAATGTCCCGGACTTAGATAATAATAAGAATCAATAGGCAGCGAATTGCCAGCTAATATTAATACAGCAAGGCTAGAGATCGAGGTGTTTTTCTTTCTCTATTTTGTTTCTAGGAAAAGGAGCAGATGCAAACAAGGTCAGATGTGGATACAGTGGGGGAGAAGATCCACTCGGGAGACAACAGAACCGGACACGTTGTTTCCCAGAAGAAGTAGTCATAATAACACTTGTTTTTGTTGTGGTATAAAATTGTAATACCTGCTTACAGGCTCATCATTTTTGTGAAGCAGACCTCTGGTTCACATTGAGGTCTAGCATGCTGAAACTTCAAGTGCTGAAATGAATTTAATCTTTTAAAAGACCGTTTCTCTTTCTTTAAGGAAGCAGAGGAGAAAGACTAACTCCAATACACTCAGCTCTCTCTTCACCAAGATGGATCGGTACAGCTTCTGCATCACTGCAGCCGCAGCACCAATCCGTCTGTCAGTCTCCCGCTCCCCTCTCCTATCACTCGCAAACAAGATACTTAAATTCCTCCACTTGGGCCAAGAACTTGTCCCTGATCTGGAGTGGGCACTCCACCCTTTTCCAGCTGAGGACCATGGCCTCAGATTTGGAGGTGCTGCTTCTTATTCCCACCACTTCACAGTCAGCTGCAAACTGTTCCAGTGTGAGCTGGAGGCCATCACCTGATGAAGCCAACAGAACCACATCATCTGCGAAAAGCAGAGATGAGGTTCTGAGACCATCCAAGTGAAAGTCTTCCATCACTTGGCTACGACTAGAAATTCTGTCCATAAAAATTCCGAACAGAATCGGTGACAAAGGGGAGCCCTCATGGAGTCCCTCATCCACCGGAAACAAGTCTGACTTATTCCTGGCTATGTGCACCAAGATTGGTACTCAAGGCAACTAATCAATGGTCATGACAATTTGCATATTAATGATCAAGGAACTGACCTCGCAGTCCATTGTTTATTCAGTGGGCTGGTTTCAGTCCTTGTGCAATGTGCTGTTTATAAGGTTGGAGAAACCTGCAGTCAGCTGAGACTGAAGAAGTCACTTGGATAAGGATGTTTCTCCCTCTGACGCTACGTCCAGATGAACAGAATCAACCTTTTGGGACCTTCATTTAGAAACTCCATTTTGTCTTTACTAGTATTATTTTTGTTTGATTTTTAAATTTGTTTGCTGTTCTGAAACACTGAAGTATGACAAACAAGAAAATAGGAAATCAGGAAAGGAGTAAACACTTTTTCACACCACTGTATGTTTGTCACGCAATGCAATCAATTTTTTGGTGATTTTAGGGTAAAAAGATCTGGGTTAAAAACAAATTTCCTATCTAATGATTACAATAAATATTTGCTTGCACGTAAGATTTATTGAACGGTATACAATATCAAATACATGCATTCTTTTAGAATCAGTACAGATAAGGAAGCAAGAAAGCTAAATGATATACTAGCTGCATCACAGTGTGCTGGATTAATTAAGATTTAAATGCTCTATGCAACAATCTCAGTTTTGTTAATCTTTTTCTTCAACAACTGTATGGTCACTTAAAATTATGAGATGTAAATATCTGTGTTTCACCAGTGTAATAAAGGAAGCACCTTAGTACCTTTTTGTAATGACATTACTAAGGTTACAGGAAACATGACAGTAAATGCTGAACGTGAATGAACTGTTTCATGAAGAAATAAAGTATGGTGGGTGGAAGAAACACGAGAGAATTACTGAAGACAAAAATCAAAACAGGAATTTAACAATATGCACAGAAGTAATTAAAATTTTAAACATTTAACGTAACAAAAAATAACAAAGAAACAACCTGAACCTAAACTCAAACTGTAATATATTCACTAATAATTCCAAACCCAGAAAAAGCTAAATGGCAGGGAGATGACAGAAGTAGCTGATGATTTCCTACAGCTTTACTTAGAGCCATTTCTCACTATTTGTCATGTACACATATTGTGTAACTGCAACAAACAAGTATTTGTCATTAGAACTGTGATGTAAAATTGGTACCTTTTCAGTGCTGGATGATAACTGATAAGCACTTACATTAAAAATGTTCCCATCCCAATGAACCAACAGTATACACATCAACTTAAAACATTAAATTATGATATTTAAAACAAGCAACAAAATCAAAATGCTTTTGGAAACTGTAATCTCAGACTCTTACAATTAAAACCATAAATCTCAGGTTCAAATGAGGAATGCATTACGTGTCTTCACGCTCTGCTATAAATGATTAAAAACTACAACAAATTTTTAAAAAGAAAGAAATCAAAACCGCGTATCAACGTGATTAATGCTAACAGCACTAAAAACATTGTTCAAAATAATCAGAAAAATAGTTCATGATCACAGCCTTTTAAACAATTTGTGACATTTTAAGATTTACCCAGTGTGGTTACTTTTTTTCATCTTGATCGCCATTAAGTTCATCACAGTGTTTCTTCACCATCTCAAGATGTTCCAAAACATCTAAAAACAAAATATTTGTTTTTATTAAATATTTATAGTTAGTGTTTGTATTGAGAGGATTCCTAATACTTTATATATTCTGTTTACCTGGCAGTGAGCAGGCCTCAGTCTTGAGTGAGTGTTCAATGGACTCCTCCATGGTTTTCTTCAGTGTCCTCAGGACAGTTTCCTAATTTATCATCAAAACCTTTGTTACTTTTTAAATAGGCAACTATTGAATCCAAGAATAACTGGACAAGAGATAAATTATTGGTTTGATATGTTTCAAGACTGCTTGAAAAAAAACAAAAAAAAAAAACCTTCAAATCGTTCAACTGCTCCAACATGGCATTTTTTGCCTCTTCAAACATGTACTTCTTTGACTCCACATGTCTCTCAATAGTGTCCCTCATCCTCTTCAGGGTGCCTGGTCCTTCAAATGCTGCTGCTTCTACAAGGAGACAATCATTTTCATGCACAGTTGAATAGAAATACCGAATTTTTCTAACCATAAGGCGCATCGGATCATAAGGCGCATTAAGCAAAACAAAACAGTAAGATAAGTCAAACTTTACTCAACTCATTCTTCTTGCTTCCTCCACTTCCGTATGTGAAATGTGAAAATGAAAATTACCTGAAGCGCCTCAATGCTATGCTTTATATTAACCAAAATGTCATATAACTGTATATTGTAGTATTAAGTGGACACGGCCCTGATAATAAAGGCATTAGACTACGTGTCCTTTAGTGGTAGAATGTTGGAGACTCTCGCTCACACTTGTCTGTAATAAAACTGTTAAGCGCACACTGCCATTTGGAGATTCACTGCAGTGTCATGTAGGACGCATCTCCCTTCTGGAAGTAATAAAAGTGTAAAATGGTCTAGTGAGCAGTGAGTTGTCTTCCATTAGATGCCTATGAGGAATCGAAAGAACTCGGTGAAGTGTTGATATTTAACACGTACCATTGATTCATTATTGTTGAATTCTCTCACAGCTGCTCTATTCCCATGTTGTTGCACTATATTAATGACTAACCTCGTATTGTGGATGGATTATCTCAGCTGTTCTCCTGACTGAAGTTTGGTCCGTTTACAGCATCTTGACTTGTGAATGCATTTCTCCCTAATCATCGGGAACCTCCACATTAACTTTCATCGAGTGGAAAAAAGTTAGCATTCATCCTCCAGCTTCACTGTGTTTATGTTATGCAAACATAGGTGTGTTCCTAGCGATTACGTAGCACATCATTATATACCAGCTAGTCCAACTTCAGTGTATAAAAGGCTCTGAGATTTTATGTCCTGCAATATTGTTTGGGGTGGAGTTGTGGGAAATGACATAGGCAGAGGTTTGAGGTACTGCACTGCTGCTCCAGAAGGGAAGATTGTATTTCTGAGTTAGTTCTGTTACCTCCTCGTGTAAGTTTTGTTCCTGTTTGCCATTCTTCACCGTGATGCTCCGAGTGTTCAGTTCATGACTAGAAGTAAATTTCCTTAAATATGTTATTTGGCATGTGCCACTGGCTGCTGCCATTATGTAGTAGTTTATTTGGCCACACGACGGCACCAAAGTTCCTTGTCAATGGTTAGGGTGAATGTTTCTGCTTATAGTATCGCATTACCGCTGTGCTTAATTGGAGTTATTATATATTATATATTATGTCATGGACGTATTTATATGGATGTGTTGGTTTATTTCATTGGATATTTTTGAGTTTATATTAGTTTAGCTGCTGCTGTAATATATTCGGTCTCATGGCAATTTATTTGTTACTACAGACTGCTGGCAACACTGAGCATCTAGTTGGCAATAAAACGGACGGCGGTGACAATCCAGCAAAGTGGAAGTGTCTTGTCCTCCTTCCTGTATCCTGACCGATACACCATCTTGTTAGCTGTTGAACCTAAAAGAACTAGCCCTCACCTAACACTTCTCAACATTCAGTAACCCTACAAAAGTCACTGCTGTTTAGTTTGCTCTCTTCATTTATGTCTGAAGTGATAGCAGAGCTGTACGTTTTGATTTTTTCAAAAATCTCTCAGTCAAAATATATATGTGGTATATCGTATTTAGATGGAAACTAGTGAGCTAACTTCCTGCTAACTTCTAACTCGGTTAAATTTAATAAATTGTGTTTTCATGGATGTCTGGATGTTAAACGGATTACGACTGGGATTATTCTGCGAGGCTGCTGATTATGGTAGCCGTAATGTTCCGACAATCCATCAAGCGGTGCGGCTTCGTAGCTTACCAAAGTAGTACTAAAACATTTTTGACAGATTTTTGAACGCTGTGTACCACTTAAAATCAATTCGAGGTCAGTAGGCATAACCAGAATTCATACATAGGGCGCACCGGATTATAAGGCCCACTGTTGATTTTTGAGAAACTAAAGGATTTTAAGTGTGCCTTATAGTGCGAAAAATAAGGTAATTCACCTCTTTCTTACCTTTGTAGCATCCTTTCATGTTACTCCTGATTGTCTCTGTCAGACTGTTGTAGATCCATTTCTTTTGTGTGAGGATGGTTTTGTTGAGCTTTGTCTTCATTTTTTTTTCCTTAGAAACATGAAATACAGATTAACATTATTTAAGACAACATCAAGGTAAAATAACTACAAGTTCAGTGTTTGAATTACTTTCTAATAATAGCTAAGCTAACAGGTTCATGGATAGGGAAGTTCTTTTACCTCGGTCTGGAGAAATGTCAGTTGCAGTTCGACATTTTTGTACTTTTCAATCAGTGAATCAGTGCTGAGTGAAAACGCATCAATGGCCCCATTGAAATTTCCACATTTTAGGTCGTTTCTGAATGGGGCAAAGATGTGGTTTATAATAGCAGTATTAGCAAGTTTATGATATAGTGCAATTTGGATACATGTATTGTTGTACATATTGGTGCTGTTCAGAATTAGATTATTCTCACGGGAAGGTCTTTCTGAATTTTTCATCAATGCTTTCAGTCAAATAAGACGCTAATATCATGTTGAGGTTTTTAGGTTTTCCTTTCTTTGGTTTCTGGATGCCATCATTCCTAACTGCAGACTTTAGTGTCTTGTGAAAAGATCTGCCACTTGTTTTCTGAAACAAAACAGAATTTTTGTTTAATTTTTTTTAAACACATGGTCACAAAGTATCCTGAGGTTTTGATCCTGTAATTAAAGCACATACACTGGGGTGCAAGAAGGACCTCAGTTTTCTTTCACATAAATTTTGGGATTTTTCAACTCCCTCACGTAGGTGTTGTTCAAAAGCTTTTGTAATATCTTCAATTGCTTTTTTGACTCGATTATGTTGGATGCTCAAGTTTCCCTCAAGGACTGCACACACCTCGTTTTTTTGTTCAACCTGAAATACAAGAAAGATCATTATTTAAAGCAGTAAAACATCACATAATGGTTCTTTACTTATTTTTGAGGCGGTCTTGAGAAACCCAGGCTTTTAACAGGAATCTCATGCATAAGTTCAGTCAGATAGGTCTGTCATCATTTGTCTGCCTCTGTCTATTCGTTATGTCACTTCCATTTTTCCACACTATTGACCTCATTACTCTAGTCTGATCATTTTTTGCCTTCTGCAAATCAATCATCCTCTGTTCTCTGTGCTTTTATATGATTTTTTGTCATTCTGCCTTTCAGACTCTCATTCATGCAACTTGCCCCCTCCCCAACTTCACCTCAACCTTCCTGCGGTCACTCAGAGCACCATCCAAACTACCATCTTCACTACCCCAAGAATCTAGACTCTGGGAGCCTGTTCTAACTCCCATCATTTCTGTGCTCTCATTGGTTCACTGGAGTCTCATTGGTAAATAACTATTTAATCAAATTCTGTATCTCAATAATTTTCAGTTCTTCCAAATAATCTCTCTCCTTTCGATCACTAATAATAAATTACCACATATAGATTTATGATGTCCAGTATCCCACATTTTCAGTGAAGGTCAGCATGTCTTACAATATATGTTAGTAAACTTTAGTGAACATTTTATGAACATTTTTATTTTATGCACTTTTATGACCTTTAAGGAGATTATGAATGAGGCTTTATTGCCTGATCTTACCACTTCTCTGCTTTTGGCTCCTTGAATCAAAGACAGAATCCCATGAGCTCCAGACACATAGTTTGAGGTCTCTGAATGAGCGTCATTTAGATTTTTCAAAATTTCCTTGAGTTTCAGTATTTCTGTTATAAATTGAAAAAGAAATATAAATCTGAGCAATACATTTTCTGTTACACAAAAACATACCATCACTGGTAGTGACTTCACCTACCATTGACATCTGGATTTACATTCTCCCCTTTGAGGAACTCTTTGGTGCTCACTGTGAAGACTTGGAAACTATCCTCACTGAAGTGATTCTGAGAACATTTTTGTTAGTCAGTTTTTATTTTTGGACCGTTTAAGAAAATAATTGTTTTAGATTTTGCTGTCAGATTATAAATTTACCGTAATCATTTCCCGCTTTTTGAATGCATTCATCACTGCTTTCTTAACTTTGTTTCTTTTAGAAAGGAAATAAAAATTGAATGTAAAAGTAATTTATTGTTAGTATTGTAATGGAAAATTTCAATTATTCTTATTTAAGGTTCAAGCATTTGTGTGCATACTTAGTTGTGGCACTGTAATGAAAACTTCCACTGAGCAGTCTAAAACTAGATGAACTTATTTCAGCCTCAGTAGTTGAAAAAATAACTCCTTTTGCAGGTGGTCATAATGCCAAGAGCATGAAACAGGATACGCATTGTTCAGTTAGGTTTCAGAGCGAGCTGCGTCATGTGCTGTATGATCACTTTCGGACTTCCTCACTTTTTTGGGGAATAAATAAAGGTGAGAGCTGCACTTCTGTTTCAGAGACTGCATGACGGCGCCTGACTGTGTGTGCTCTCTCTCATGCGCATGATAATAACGAATGTTCATTACAGCCGAATGTGTCTGTGGAATTAAATTAAATTTCCACAACAGTATTTATCTAATTAAAAACTTATTAAAACACATATACATAGATTTTTTTTAAATGTATAACTTTTAATAATGACTTTTACACAAAGTCTTTTAAACTTTTAAAGCAACAAAAAAGTGAAGTGTATGGTCACCATGTGTATCTGTGTAACTTTCTTTGCAATTTGATTTTTTTGTATATTTGACTTACATATCATCTGGTTTTTCATGATCTGACTTGGTGCAGATAAAATGAATTTGCTGACACTCGCCACCATTTCCCAGCAGGCTGCTGGCACCTTCCAGGATTTCCCAGGCTTCGCTTTCTGATGCTGCTCGAGTCATTTCAGTCACAATCCACACTGTAGAACAACTGGCAATAAGCTGAAAAGGAAATGAACGTATGTAAATTATAAATAACTAATGCTTTGAAGAAACATGACATGACTTCTGTGAATTACCTCTGTCCACATTTGATCTCTGCTTCTGTTAGAGTCACCGTTTCCAGGAAGGTCCACGAGTGTGACATGATCAAGAAAATCATTGTCTGGCACTTTGACAGTCACACACTTCACAAGTGGCCAGTACCACCTCTTTACTTCTTCTGTCTCATTTGACTCACTTCTTGTATATCTCACAAATTTTTCAGACAACCCTTCAGCCTGCAAAAACAAACAAACAAGATAAATACAAGCCAATTGAATGTATGTGCCCATAACAAAGATTTTAATGATTGCATGAAAAAGAAGATAGGATGTCTTATTTTAATTTCCCATCTCAAAAATCTGAAATGAAAACCAGGAAAATAAATCCAAAGTACCGTAATTGTCGGGCTATAAGCCGCTACTTTTTGCACAAGCTTTGAACCCTGCGGCTTTTAGTCAGGTGCGGCTTTTCTATGGATTTTCCATGATTTTTGTGATATCGTAAGACGATTTGTTTTGTTTGTTCCGCTGTTGTACGGCACTACGTTGCCTGGCGGAAGGATCGGGGTTCAAGAGTGGTATATTAGTCACATGTCCGTCCGCCAGGCAACGTAGTGCCGTACGAAGTAGCGCGAAAAACAAACTTCAAAGTAGCGCTACGCATTCAGCGGGAGGCATGGATGACGAGCGGCGATAAACTTGCGAAAAGCAAGTTATGCCCAACTCCACCGGTGGATTCTGACAGCGTGGAAAAGTGCGAAAACATCCACGATCACCAACGGATTTTGAAGGGCTGGACTCCTGCATGATGGAGAGGAGGACACCGCCACGGCCCTTCTGAGGGTGTTCGACTCTGACACTGACAACGAGGATTTCTTTGGTTTTGAAAGTGATAACGAAGGAGAGAAGCGGAGAGTGGATGACGAAGCCATCCTGAGCCTGTTTGTATCCGACATTGGAGAAGAGGACTTTGGTGGTTTTAGAGCGCAGGAAGAAGAGAAAGATGGTGGTGAATGACTGACTTTTCTTCTTGTTACAGCCGTGTCACTGCACCTGAGCCTAAAAGGTAGTCCGAATAAATTTTTCTGGTGTGCTGTAGGTTACTGTTATGTACTACATGTGCAAATATGTACCCATAACTTGTTTTTCAAAATATTAATAAAAGGGGTGTGTCTCCAAACAGCCATCTCTTTCCTGACAATTCCCTTTGTGCATATTCTCTTACATATGATAAGTCAACATTGAAACACCTGCGGCTTTTAGTCAGGTGCGGCTAATGTATGTACAAAACAGGATTTTCCCCTGATTTTAGCTTGTGCGGCTAATATTCAGGTGCGCTTTGTAGTCCGGGAAATACGGTAATTAGATTTTTTTATTTAAAAAAAAAGAAAAAAGAAAGAAAGAAAAAAAGAAACCTTTTTCATATTTTACTGTGGATCACAGTAAGTGGCCTGGTTCTTATATAGTGATTTATTTTACTGCATGTAAACATTTGAAGCACTTTATAAAACTTGCCTCGTTACCCCAAGCACTTTTTTCTGGGTATGTTATTTCTAGCTAACATTTACACACATTCATTCACTGATGGATGCATCGAAGATCAACTGGGGGTTTGTAGATATTTGGCATGCAGACTTGAGGGAGCCAGGGATTAAACCACCAACCCTCCGATTAGTAGGTGACCTGCTCGACCTTCTGAGCAGGAGTTTTACAAATTTTAAACTCTTCAACACCTCCACAAAGAAAACTGCAAGCTCCATGGTAACAGGATAATCAGACAGCAACAGGATAGTAAACCATAAAATTTTAACCACCACAATTTCACTTGTTTTTTTGTTTCTTGTTTGATGGATGTCAAACATTTTGGAAATGAGGCACATCGACATATCGCCGACATATATCTGCTCAGCAATAAACTGCAGCAACATCTGCTTCACCAGTGCTTTGTCTCTGTCTGCACTCTCCATTAGGGTGGCATTACATAGCATGGACATCTTCCTGCTGCAAAGGTGCAGCATCAGGGTAGCTTAACGCTGCTTGGGTAACTATTGACTGCTCATTATGTGATGTTCATAAGCCAAACTGTGGTCTAATATATGCTTTAAACTGCAAGTATTCCTTTGTTCTAGAAGAAGAACCAGATTTTATTTTGGTCTGTATTACTGCAGACTTACTGAGTCACTTTCCAAAATTTTTATCTTGGACATTTGAAACTCATTTGAAATATCTCTGAAATATTTGTTGTCCATGAGGCTGTGAGTTGATTTTTCTTTCCACTCTTCTCCATACAGCGCTGATAACTTTCCATCAGGGTCAAGACAATCACCATTACCACCATCATCATCATCATCATCTTCTTCAAGAGCCAGTTTTAGGGACTGCACCTCATTTTCCCAATCCTACAAAAGATTATATCTTAATTTTAGTAAAGCAGTTTTTGTATCTACATTGTAACACATTACTTCAAAAATCACCATATTCATATTTCATTCTACCTCTTTTGTAATGAACTCGATGTGTGCCTCATACTTTGATCCATTTGTAGCCTCCACCTTTATCATTACTGAGGTACATGCACTGACACTTCCAGAAGGCAACAGGCCCTCCTTATTTATGATGGCATTGATTAAAGAACTCTTTCCAGCCCCAGTTCTACCAAAGACACCAACCAGGTGTCTCTTTTCTGTCTCCAAATCTTTGATTTTATCCCTGTTGAACGAGTTTAAATATGGATTAACTGACCCATTCTCAGAAATATCAAACTGAAAATGCAGTAAAATCAGAAAAAAATTGTTTTTTAAAATGTGTTGAAAAAATTCAACTGACTACTGGAACAAACTACACAGCTCCATGCTGAGCTCTGACCGAGTTTAAATCTTTAGTATGTTTATTATACCAAATACCAGCAAAATGTTACAGACTGTCCCAACTTCCTGGGAAATGGTTGGAAGAACATCCAACAAAAATAGAAAATCTTTATTACTCACTTTAGGAAAGCGCTGAGCTTGTCACGGCCATGCAGTCTTTGACTGACGCGTCTCATTATGTCTTTGACATCAGACAGTATTTCTGTTTCTGTCAGAGAAACAGAAAAAAAACCCTAATAAGTAGGAACCTGGAACCAGTGTAATGCAAATATGGTCCACTGATATGCAAATGTAACCCATGGTTATTTTATTGCCAATTGTATTCTATTTTTATTCTAATTTTAAGTGTTATTGTTTTGTTAAGTGTTGAGTTTTCCCATTTTCCCATGAATGCACCATAGCGCTGTGCGCGTTGACTTTCTTTCACTGCATCCGCCTGCATGGAGCTAGATGCGCAAAGCTGTGTGGAGATTCAGTCCTGCAACGTGTTGCGCTACAGAATTAATGTTTTCTTTGAAGAATATCCTGGCTGTTTTTTTTAAGTAGTAGAAATCTGCTGCAAGGACCGAGCGGTGCCATCTAAGGACTGGATGCCACTAGAGGTGCCTAGAAAGGACGTTCTCAATCTGAAGGCCACCTGTTTCCTTGGAGGGTGGTAGGATACAACGATTTGTAATTTTGTTTAAGGATTAACGTTTTTTAATGAGCTCTCAGGACACCTTATGTTGCTACTTTTTTCCTTTTTGGGTCAGATCTGATTCCACTTAACACAAAACCTGATGCACCAAAAAGCAAAACAGTGACTAAAGACAATTCAAATAACTTGAACGCTTACCACATACTGAATACAAAGTGCACTGAACTGAAATGGACAGCATGCCTGACACATTTATGGACACTTGAAGTGATATGTTGTACATTGTTGAAGATTACATGTTTGAAATTATTTAAAGGTTTGTTCATGTCTATGTTTTGGACCATTTAAATGTTGAATACACTCAAGTCACTTTTTTCCTTAAGTTGTTGTCAGTGTCTCATTCTGAGTGGAAGGTTTTCCCTCTTTAAGTTGAGTTACCACTGCCAGTCTCCTTACGATCCTAACTGAACCCAACAAGAGGAGATTCTGAAATATTGTTTTTTCCTTGACCTTGGATGACAGATTACTGTGGATTTGACTGATTTTGACTACTCAGTTAAAAATGGTGACACAAAGCAGGAATAAGTGTGAGGATTTCATATATGTGTGTACCTGACTGTGATCCTGCTGCACAGTTGTCTTGTCGTTTAGGAGATGGTTGCCATTCGCCGAACTCAAGTTCTGACTTTCTTTTTCCTTTTTGGATTTAAACAAAATAATACAATTTAAAAAGAAAATCTGAATATTGAAACTTCTGATTATGGTGTATTTTAGATGTTGCAAAAATAATACTGTGAAAATAAATAAATAAATTAGATGTATTAAAATGAGAGTGAGATACATTTTTCTCACCTTTTTCACTTATGGATGGCAAATCCTGTGGAAGCATATAAATATTCAACTTTCACATGAAGTTAAATTATTATAAATTGTACATGTATGCATAATTGAATTTATAGAAGAAATCATTGCTCCTGTACAGAAACAATTTGTTCTTTAACAAACTGTCAAAAACTTTCACATGCACTTTTTAAAATGTACACACTTATATGTACATATATTCTCAGCTAGCACAGTGATTAAAAAAAAAGGAAAACTTTTGCATTCTTGCCTCTCAGTAAACATGATCCCATGAGTCAATGTTTCTGCCTAATTCAGCACCAGTGACACAGACCTAGAGACCAGTTGGTGACCACCCCATCCCTGGCAACCACCAGCTGTTAGGGTAAAATGTGTATTCCAACATCAGGCAACTACATCAGTTGTTTAGTGGTTGGTAGAGGTTGTAAGAACTTTAAGTCGCAGGGTGGTCTTAAGGCTTGTGTGACTGGGGCTTTGCTTTGACTCAGGTCACCTTAGCGTATATTTATGAAGAATGAAGGCATGCTGCTTCATTATCTGATTTCCAATAACCCTTACCTGATCCAAATCAGCTGTCGCTATCACTATGTAGCAGGGTGACACAATAGGACTTTCATGAATTTCCCCCATGCACATTAGTGGTGTGAGATACTGCTGGATTTGGTATTCCTTTTATACTAAGTAAATAAAGGCCCAGTATCAACGATTGTGATACAGATACTGATGCTTTTTAATAATTATGGTGGATGGTGGATCAAACTGCTAAATCAGAATGAATTTTCATGACCTGTAAGTGTTTGGGGGATTTTCTTTTCTTTGGATTATTAATTAAAACCAAGGACAGAAAACATATAATGAGAAGTCTGTATCACATCTACTTGTAGTTTAAATATAGTAACTGCACAGTATCCCTTTTACAGTTAACACAAAGGGGTTATGATATATTCGGGATATTTGTTTCAATTACAATAAATGTTATTATGACACTTGAAAGCAGCAGCACTTAGATGGCCAGGTTGCCTCTTTGATGATTCTAGGAGTAACAAAGAAACAGAAAACAGTATCCCAAAAAGTTAATTCTGTTCATCTGGACTGTTTTCAGTGGGAGAAACGTTTCATCGCTCATCCAAGTGACTTCTTCAGTCTCAACTAACTGCAGGTTTCCCCAACCTTATAAACATTTGCACTTTATATAGTTGGGAAAACTTGGGATTTACTTACCTGGATGATTGAGCATGTAACAAGACAGAAACTAATATCAGTCTCATTATGCTCCTATCAATATCAAAACAAACTTTGGCATCTATATTTTGGTTTGATCCGCCCACCACCAGGGCCATGCAGAGCTGTTTAAAGGGGCGGGTGCTCAAAGTTAAAAACAGGCACATAGAACCAGGCTGAACAACAACACACATTCTTTAAGAATCTAATACGGAATCGCATCATACTATATCACTGTTTTACCTGATGGGGTACAATGTTGCTGTTGAGGAGTTTCTGCTGATCCTGCTCCTGATAGTGCAGGAGGAACGGGCTGTGTTGAGCTGCGACTGGAGACTGTAAAAAGTCCATAGGAGAGATGGTAGCTGATTAAACAAGTGCTATGAGATAATAATAAAAAGATTGCTGAAAGTGCCATGTCAGCAACCATAAGGCAACAAAACTGTGAGAAACAAACTAGGCTCTGCCTATGAATCACTCTTTGCCTCTCTTCTTCCTCCCATCTCCTCATCTCATTTATCACTCTCCACTTGCTGTCCATCTGAGGCACAATTTACTATTGCAATAAACTATTATTTAATTATCCACACTTAAAAACCTCATCTATCTATTCTATAATAAAATTGTTTTTGACTTACTTGACCAGAAGTATTGACGGCTTCTTTTTGTGGTTGAGTTGTATTTTGCTCTTCCTAACATAATGAAAACATGGCAAATCCATATTGGCAAAATATGTGAATAATATAGCTATCATAGACACACTGATAGTTAAGTAGTTTATGCACCATAATAATTCTACAACAAATTCATCTGTAAACTTTAACACGAGTGAGGTTTTTCAGACAAAAAGGAAAGAAATCTTAAAGGATTTAATTACCTTTAACAGCTTTAGTTTATCCTTGAATTTTACTCTAGGTCCAGCTTTTGTGATCAATTGATCAATTTCCTGATCATTGAGAAGATACAGACTTTCCTTATCAATTTCTTGAGCTGTAATAAAGTTAAATAGCAGAAATAACGATTATTTATAAAATTACTTCAGAAACAGTTTTTTAAAGGAGTTCTGCATTGATGTATGATTTGAACACATTTAATTCCCTTTTATTTTAAGCAAGTATCACTTTCCAGTCTTAGGACATCTTCTCTTGCACATTTTGTGTAGTAAATATGAAAATGTGTATTAATAGGTATTATTTTTCAGAGTTAACAAAACGTATAAGTATCAATATCTGTACCCATCACTGATGCACAGTAATAATTTACCTTCAAATGCCTCAATCCAGTCACTTAGTTTCCATTTAGTCAGTTTGTTTCGCACAAAACCATCCATGACCAAGAATAGAAACTGAAAGAAATTGTAATTTCTGATCCTGTCAAGGTGAACGAGCAGACTCTAGCGCAGAACTAAGGTTTCAATTAAAGAGAGTTTATTTACAGTGACACCAGGCGCTATAAACAACCGTGCAGGGCAATTAGTGCTCCCGGGAATCCAGGGAAAAATGAACACGTCCAAAACTCCTCTTCTCAATCGCCAGTCCCTCACACGTTCTCTTTTGTACGATACACGACGTCCACATACGAATATCCAAACTCACGTCAAAGACAAGGGAAAATAGGGAAGCGTCCAGTAGGGTCTGTACACGGGAAGAGAACACAAATTAGACATCCACAGAAACACGAGCGCCACGATCCAGCGATAAGTAACACAGAGCCGCCGCCCTGCGCAGCAGGTGAGTGGAATAATTGCAGGTGCGCAGGCCAAGAGCGTGGACCAATGACTGTAGAAAATGTGGGCGGCCTGACAGCTCCCCGTTATGCTAGCTGCATTGTAGATCATAAACCCCGCCTCCTCCGTGTTAACGGATGGCACTGGGGTCAGACAGACTAAAATGAAAGCCTTCTCCTCAGAAACCTTTTTTCTAGAGTTCCATCTGCTATTTTAAGTAGTTCTTATCACATTAATTTGGGTTTAAGGAGTCATTTTTCTCACAAATGTATTTTAATCATAACTAGATGCTGTAATGCAGAGGCGGAGCCAGACATTTGAAACACCCGGGGCTTAGCCCTAAAGGATAGTATGCATGTGGGGGGGGTTTTTTTGGTTTTGTTTTTTTTGGGGGGGGGGATTAGAAATGACTGAAAGATTGATAGGCTCTGTTCTGAGTTTTGTTCAAAAAAGAATGACTTCATATAGGGAAAAATATATATCACACATGCAGGACACCTTAAACTAGTTTTTTAATTAAGCAGCAGGGCAGAACAAAGTCGGGGCTGTATCAAGACACGAGGACTAAACCCCAATTCAACCAGACCCAGAACTGATCCGGAATTAAAACAGGACTACAACAGTTCAAAATCAGGACTACTTAGGACTTAACCAAGACAGAACCAGAACTAGATGATAGTAGCACTAAAAATCATCATAGACCTGCACTACACTTATTTTTTAATTCTACCAAAGTCCACTATTTAGATTGAGAAAAGTTTATATAATTATTTAGCCTTGTTGTGCAAACAAGCCTAATAAATGTTCAAGCTTAATAAATGTAGAATTTGAAAAATAGCAAACCTAAAAAGAAACACTAGGTACGAGATACATGAGGACCTATGATACGGTGATACTTTTGGTAAACAACCATTTGACTAACATGTGTGTCTCACCTGCTCTTGTTCATCTCTGTTCTGTCCTCATTCTCCATCTCCCTCTCTGTTCCTCTCTCTCTCTGTTCCTCTCTCTCTGTTCCTCTCTCTCTGTTCCTCCCTCTCTCTCTGTTCCTCTCTCTCTGTTCCTCTCTCTCTGTTCCTCTCTCTCTGTTCCTCTCTCTCCCTCTTTGTGCTGACAATCATCAAATATACAGTTGAAACCACATATTTATGTACTCTTCAGATCAAAACACAAACACTTTTTTAATTGTAACATCAAATCAGACTAAATGTTTATTTTTTTAGATTGATAAATATAAAAAACATATTTGTTAACTTTAAGAGTAAGGAGAGAAATTATCTGTATTTCTTAATTGCAAATGGCACCAAATTGTATGCAAAACTGAGCCACACTTATGGAGCTCCACAGTTCTTTTCCTGGTGTTGTGGTTGACATCTCTTGATTTTCCCATGTCACAGAAACAGGCTCTGTGTTTTGCCTTATATGCATCCACAGCTGTGCCACCAATTTACTCACATGGACTCTACTAACCTATCAGAAGCTTCTTCAGCTCAGAATGGAATCGTCTGGAGTTTTCTTATTAATTAACAATAAACTTAGTGTATATGTACTCCTACATTTGATGAAAGTGATAAAAAAATAGACAGCTCTGTCTCTCTTTATTCTGACATTTAACTAATTCAAAAGATATTTCAATATTTTTCTAAAACAAAAGTTTACTCTAAATTGATGTTGTACAGTAAAAATGTTTTCTCCCTAAAGTGTATGTAAATATCTGGTTACAAATGTGAATATCCTGCTGTGTACTCAAATCCCTCTTGTTTTGCATAGAAATATACTGAACAACATACAAAGCATAATATATAAAATAACATTTACCTGAGTTTTTTCTTTGAAAGAAGCCTCTAATGTCCATTCTTATATTTCAGTACATAACTGAAACTGATTTAGTCGGGGAGGGTAAGAACTGAAAATATGAAATAAACACACGTAAGCTAAGACTCTCTAAAAAAAAATAGCATCTGTTCGGCTTTTCATTTCGCCATTTGTTGATTCACTTGAAGAGCAAGTAACGTAATATGGGTCAAGTGATCAGTTTGATATCAATCTTTCGTGATGCACCGTCATATTTACATTATTTGTACAGTACGAATGATTTGCTTTGGTACCTGCTCAAACTTAAGCTCTCCTTAGTATTAGTGATGGGTCGTTCGCGAACGAAATGGCTCTTAGAGCCGGCTCTTTGACGTGAACAACGCGAGCCGGCTCCTTATCGCGAGCCGTCACGTGGGTTTTTGTTTTTTTTTTTTTCCTTTCTCTCAGCCTCTCTCTCGCACTTTTTTTCCGCTTCACTCTGCACGCGAGCCTTGTGCTTTACGCTGGGCAGAGGGGGAGGGGCGGTAGTTACACTCAGTAGCACAGGAACAGAGCCAGAGAGAGAGAAAGAGAGGCAGGGACAACAACATTAGAAAGGTATAGTAATCATCCACAACTATTTTCGGTTGCAGATGATAAAGGATTGAGAAAGTTTATTCATGCAGGTCCATATGACAGAGAATATGCATGTTCTTTTAGTTTTCATATTATAATTTATATTTAATTGTGTTGTGGTTTGCAGTGTTTTGTGTTCTTTTCACTTTAAATTTGTTTGTTTTTCTTTCTTTCTTCCCCACTTTCTCACCATCTCTTCTCCCCTCTGGTTTTCTTTCTCTCCCTCTCTTTCTTTCATTCTTTCTCCCTGTCCTTTCCCTCAGTCATGTCTGTCCCGTTTGTTGCAACCGAAAATAAAATAAATACATAATTATAATAAAGGTCAATCAAATGGACCAATATGGCAAGGCCATGATGATCCACTTGGTAAAATAAATCCGCTTGGCATCTTTCTTGGCCTTAAGACAACAATTCTGATGGCTAAAGATCCAAACGGGACACAAAAAAAAAAAAAAAAAAAAAAAAAAAAGAAATACCAAAAACCGGCAAGCTGGTTCGTGGACAGATTACCAGACTGATCCATTTTTATGGAGAGTAATGTGCAATACCTGATGCCTTTTAGTGGTGAATGATTTATTGAAATTATTTCCGATTATTATAACATATATTCTAATTCAGACTAGATTTGGAATATATATTTGAAAGTAAACAGCTTTGACTAAACAATACAGGGAGTGCAGAATTATTAGGCAAATGAGTATTTTGTCCACATCATCCTCTTCATGCATGTTGTCTTACTCCAAGCTGTATAGGCTCGAAAGCCTACTACCAATTAAGCATATTAGGTGATGTGCATCTCTGTAATGAGAAGGGGTGTGGTCTAATGACATCAACACCCTATATCAGGTGTGCATAATTATTAGGCAACTTCCTTTCCTTTGGCAAAATGGGTCAAAAGAAGGACTTGACAGGCTCAGAAAAGTCAAAAATAGTGAGATATCTTGCAGAGGGATGCAGCAGTCTCAAAATTGCAAAGCTTCTGAAGCGTGATCATCGAACAATCAAGCGTTTCATTCAAAATAGTCAACGGGGTCGCAAGAAGCGTGTGGAAAAACCAAGGCGCAAAATAACAGCCCATGAACTGAGAAAAGTCAAGCGTGCAGCTGCCAAGATGCCACTTGCCACCAGTTTGGCCATATTTCAGAGCTGCAACATCACTGGAGTGCCCAAAAGCACAAGGTGTGCAATACTCAGAGACATGGCCAAGGTAAGAAAGGCTGAAAGACGACCACCACTGAACAAGACACACAAGCTGAAACGTCAAGACTGGGCCAAGAAATATCTCAAGACTGATTTTTCTAAGGTTTTATGGACTGATGAAATGAGGGTGAGTCTTGATGGGCCAGATGGATGGGCCCGTGGCTGGATTGGTAAAGGGCAGAGAGCTCCAGTCCGACTCAGATGCCAGCAAGGTGAAGGTGGAGTACTGGTTTGGGCTGGTATCATCAAAGATGAGCTTGTGGGGCCTTTTTGGGTTGAGAATGGAGTCAAGCTCAACTCCCAGTCCTACTGCCAGTTTCTGGAAGACACCTTCTTCATGCAGTGGTACAGGAAGAAGTCTGCACCCTTCAAGAAAAACATGATTTTCATGCAGGACAATGCTCCATCACACGCGTCCAAGTACTCCACAGCGTGGCTGGCAAGAAAGGGTATAAAAGAAGACAAACTAATGACATGGCCTCCTTGTTCACCTGATCTGAACCCCATTGAGAACCTGTGGTCCATCATCAAATGTGAGATTTACAAGGAGGGAAAACAGTACACCTCTCTGAACAGTGTCTGGGAGGCTGTGGTTGCTGCTGCACGCAATGTTGATGGTGAACAGATCAAAACACTGACAGAATCCATGGATGGCAGGCTTTTGAGTGTCCTTGCAAAGAAAGGTGGCTATATTGGTCGCTGATTTGTTTTTCTTTTGTTTCTGAATGTCAGAAATGTATATTTGTGAATGTGGAGATGTTATATTGGTTTCACTGGTGAAAATAAATAATTGAAATGGGTATATATTTGTTTTTTGTTAAGTTGCCTAATAATTATGCACAGTAATAGTCACCTGCACACACAGATATCCCCCTAAAATAGCTAAAACTAAAAACAAACTAAAAACTACTTCCAAAAACATTCACCTTTGATATTAATGAGTTTTTTGGGTTCATTGAGAACATGGTTGTTGTTCAATAATAAAATTATTCCTCAAAAATACAACTTGCCTAATAATTCTGCACTCCCTGTATAATCCAGTTTTGAGATCCCTTCCCAGACACCTCAACACCCACACACATCATAGGGCCTTCTGACCTCAGGAAATCACATGGTAGGGTGGGGCTTGGTTTCACAATGAGCTCACCCCAAACCTTGGCTGATTGTGACAACACCTGTTTTCACACCTTGGCTCATGTGATTAGGTAGAGGATCAATAGGGGGTCCATGTCCATCTTAGGGGACACTCCAATAGGGTTTAAATCTGGGACTCTCCACCATTTGACCCAGGAACTGAAGAAGCTTCTCGGATGAGAGGTGAAACGTCTTCAAGCAATTTAAAGAAGTCCAGATGCTTCTCTTTCCAAACTTCTTA